TATTGGAGCTCTTGGTATGAATGCCAAGCAGTATAGCATGCTATTTCCAAACTTCTGGTGGAGTGAATCGCGTCATGGTGCTCTTTTTCTCACAGACTGTGCCCAACTGATCCTACTATACTGTGCAGTTAACAAAATCAAAAACAAACAACAAACAGGTGCAAAGTTAAAAATATAAAATGGCAGCAATTTAACCATCACACCCTGTATCTATGTGCTATATTTGAATGTTTAAGTATATAAATGTATATATAGTTATTTTTCTATATATTTCTATTATCAAGAAAGATTTTTCAGATGGAAAATTAATATGACTAACCTGACATAGATAGACAGACATAGATATGAACAGACTGGAATATGTGGATTAGTTACTGGTGTGTGTGATTATATATATATAAATATAGATAGATAGATATAGATAAAGACAGACAGATATATATATATATATATAGAGAGAGAGAGAGAGAGATCTATTACTTCAAACATTATTTTTTGTAATACCTTGTTGCAGTGTTCACTCCAATTTGAAAATCTTTGTAAATGAATGTTGCTCAAAAGCATACCAGATATCAGACAGTGTTTTACTCCTGAAAAGGAGCAAAGGCTTGAATCCTGCCAGAAACAAACTCATTAAATTTCATGTCAACAAAAAAAAAAATACAATTTTTAAATAAATATATATATATATATATATATATATATATATATATATATAATATATATATATATTTGCACAGTGTTATATATTTCAAAGGTTCATGTATGAAATGAAAATTAACATAAATTTTAACAATTTTAGGATCAAAAAAATTTATCTGTATATGCAATCTTGACTGCGTACATATATATTTGTGTCTTATATGTAATATGTCATAAATGTTTCCAAATAGTACCCCAAACTCTACTAGGGTATGTCTAAACTAATCTCTTTTTTGAATATGCCACTTGAAACATTTTTCTCTTCAACTTCCAAATAGATTCTCTGTGGTTTTATGATTTTTTACTATAAAAGTGGGCCTATAGTTACAGTTTTATTGAGAGAGAGAGATAGCACATGATCTGGCATGATTTGTAAACAAGGCCAGTAAACACTAATCCTCAGTCATAATGTGAATTTGTGCTATCATAACCACCAGCAAATGAATCCTGTAGGTTTTAGCAAGGACCATCCTTCTTCTAGTCTCATGGACTGACACTGCAGAATCAGAGACAAAGAACTGAAAAATAAAAAACCAAATCATTTTTAAAAGGTACAGCAACAGCAAAATGGATATCAATTATGTTGAAGAATAATAACATAATCAAGATGTTCATTTTTATACTATTTTAACAAAAAGGTTAAATCAGTTCAGTACTGGAAAAATTTTAACAATAACTGGACTCAAAAAAAAATTCTCCAAAACAATTGTTTTAATCTCAATATTTTGATAAAGTTTTGACTCATTAACCAAAATGTCTCCTCAGTCAATGAATGCTGAATATCTCCATATAAGAAATGGCTAATATTACCATTATTGTATATATTTGATGACTGTGTTCTAGAGACATCAAACATGCCAAAAATGAAGAGACACTTCTATTTTTAAGTAGAACATTTTATTCACTGTACAAATCAAAATTGATTTGGACTTGAAATTATTATTTTTCTTAGTTTTACTTTTTTAACATAAAATTTATATTCTTTAAAAATTTGATGGCTGCATTCAAAGTAGAACAAAAAAAAATCTTTTTTTAAAGGTTTTGTATAAGATTTCAAATTTCAAAACCAATATATAAATACCTTCCCTCTGCCTTTAGTACAAATATCATGGCAATTGTTCTGGTGAACCACATTGGCATCTCAATTTCATGAATTTAAAGAGTACTGAACTGTTACAGAATATCTATCCCCCAATATTCAGTGAATGTTGGACAACATGTTTTGTTTAACCATCTCTCTTCTTCATCTTTAAAAAGAATATGAAATGATAAATAAAAAAGATTCTGACAATACCATGGATATAATATGTCATCAAATTAAATTTTTTGAGAAAATTAGAACAAAAGGACACTTGAAAGTATAAGTTCAATATATATATAATAGGGAAAGAGGGCTTAAAAAATGATATTGTGAAAGACCAGATTGAAGGCAAGAGGGACAGAGGAAATATATACATATGAACATAGTCATTTTGAATAAATTTGATGGAATAAAGTTTAGAAAAATAACAAAAAATATATAAATTTATTTTGAATTATAAACAGAGGAAATTGTAATATAAATGATCACCAACATCCTGAAGTATCATATGACCTCATAAAAAAAAATCAAATTTATGGATTTTATGATACAAATTGGAAAATGTCACTTTTATAAATATATATATATTTATAAAATTTTTTGAATATATAAATAAAATTATTTAAATTATTTTTTTTTAGATATTCAAATCAAGAAATTGAACTGATCATGAGATTTGCTTAAATACATCTTTTCCAACCACCTATTTTTAATATTTTCATTTTTTTTTCATACAAAATCTCTATTGTTCTCAACAAAGGGAGCAATTGTTGTCAAAGATCCTAGTTTACATCTATATCGTGTTGAAACACCAGTTCTCATTTGATCACCAAAGTTAAATAGCATTGAAACTAGTCAGTACTTAAATGTGGGATGACATAGTAGTACTAGGTCCTATAAGCTTAGAAGTGCAGTGTACTATAATGTATATAGGTTCTGAATGAGAAATCATATAGACAAGTTTGAATTCAATCTGGTTCGTTATATTCATTTACATGCAAATACCTTTGGGAAAGGTATGAATCCATATCTTCTCCTCCCATCTATGGGTTAAATAGTAAGACTTGTATCAGAAAATCATTATTATCTTCCAAACATCCTCATGTCAAAAATATACTTTTTATCTTAAATAACTACATCCCAGGTTATTATTTTATTAAATGGTAGCTTAAAAAACAAATCAACAAAAAACAATTCTCTTTCAGTCAAATGTTACTTGTGTCATGTATATATATATATGAATGCCACTTCATTTTTGTGTAAAATCATCCTCAATAATGAACAACAATCAATTAAATAAACAAGCAAATAATTAATCGAAATTAGAAGATAAAATATAATTTAATGATTTAATGAGTACAATCATTTATAATTACTCTAATATTAAGAGCATTAGCCCACACACAGATGGGTAAATACATAGGCATAACCATCATATATGTGTGTGTGTGTGTGTGTGTGTGTAAATATATGTGTGTTTGTGTGTGTGTGTATGTGTGTGTGTATATGTATTCATCATATAGAACATATAATGTCAAAAAATCTGAATAAAAGTGTGTGTGTGTGTGTGTCCAAAACATGTGCATGAAAATATACAGGGAGTTTGATGGATAAATTGTCATCTAAATTAACAAAAAATGAAAATTACACTGACATCTCATTTTAACAAATATTATTATAAAATTAAACAAAATGTCTTGAAATACTAAATAGTAAATTTATTCAATAAATTCACCATTGGTTTAATCAAGACTTTAGATGACTTCCCAATCTCCAAAAATGTTCTTACCAGCTCATTTTTGGCAATCCCAAAATTACTTAAAAAATTCAAAGAAATTCTTGCCACTTTCATCTTTTGTGTTAGGAAAAGAATAATTTGAAATGGCTCAAGATGAGATTTAACATAATCATTATTATGTTTAGGGTGCACTTGAGTTGCAGTCAGGGGAGTTAGGTGGCAAAATCTTTTGCCATTGTCTGTCTTCTTTTTCCTTTTGACACAGGCTAGAACTACCTCCTCAAAGCATATGAATAAAGCCTCCATGTTGATTCTGTGGCCCTCAACAACAAATTCAGTTCTTTTCTTAAAAGAACGATTATTAGTGAGTTGGTAGTACCTTCATAATGACTATTAGACACATTGAACTCTTTCAAAATTGTCCTCCCAAACACCAGGTAGTACAGCATGCTGTTTCCAAAATTCAGATGAAATGAATTTCATCATGGGGATCTTTAATCTTTTTCAAGAGTTCTCAAATGGATTACTATGATGAAATCATTTTAACTTACTATATATATGATAATCTATAAATATATATATATATTTGTGAAATATATATTAATATAATAAATTAAGGGAAATAACACTAGTACAAAAAAAATTTAATCAAAAAAAAACGTGATTAATGTTCTTTTTAAAATGTATAAATATTCAAAATGAAAACTTTGTAATTCTAAAATTCCTCCCTTACTTGCAATTGAATCCAATATTTCTTTAAAGAAAACATTTTGTGAATGAATTGAATAGACAAACCTTTAAAAATGCAAAAACTATAAATCATTAAATTTATAAAGGAATTGGTTCCCATTTATAGAAAATTTTCATTTTGTTCAAAATTTTTAGAGGAATTTAATTATCCATTCTTAAAGACAATGGATGAAAGAAAATATTGGTCAATAATAAAGTTTGCTCTACCATGAACAAGTTTATTCTGAAAAAGAACAATAAAATTTATCTTGAAATTAATTGTTGTTTTTATAACATTAATTCAAAAATATGTTTTATTTTTTTTTTTTTTGTGTTCTCTATTAAATGAAATTTTTTTTCTGTCATTTTATCATTTAAAGAATTCCAGTCTTAATTCTGTGTTTGTCTTGTCTGGTTTTTGGCATGTCAAGAGTTCTCCTGACGACTGAGTAAAAGCTGGTGTTATATAGCACTCTCTCAGTCCCCGATCCACACTGATTATTGGCTAATACCTACCCAGTATCATTCGTATACAAATTTTGTGAGTGTTATAAGTAGAATGACCTCTCTCAACAGCCAATAGTGGAAGATGATGAAACGCCTGATGCTTACTGCACTGCATGCAACCAACTCTGGGTCTCTTGTCAGGTTGATCTAATTCTTTTTTACAAATTCTTTCTACATCCATTTTTCCATATTTTTTTTTTTTTATTTTTTTAAAATATTCCCCTTTCTTGAAATATTTTCTCCATGTCTTTCTCTGCCTGTCTCAGCCGCTCTGTATCTCTCTCTGCCCGTTTCAGTCTCTCAGTGAGTCCCTCTTCCGGGCTCGGTCTCTCAGTGAGTCCCTCTTCCAGGCTCAGTCTCTCAGTTAGTCCCTCTTCCAGGCTCAGTCTCTCCGTGAGTCCCTCTTCCAGGCTCGGTCTCTCAGTGAGTCCCTCTTCCAGGCTCAGTCTCTCAGTTAGTCCCTCTTCCAGGCTCAGTCTCTCAGTTAGTCCCTCTTCCAGGCTCGGTCTCTCAGTTAGTCCCTCTTCCAGGCTCAGTCTCCGTTAGTCCCTCTTCCAGGCTCAGTCTCTCAGTTAGTCCCTCTTCCAGGCTCAGTCTCTCAGTTAGTCCCCTTCCAGGCTCAGTCTCTCAGTGAGTCCCCCTTCCAGGCTCAGGTCTCTCAGTTAGTCCCCCTTCCAGGCTCAGTCTCTCAGTGAGTCCCCTTCCAGGGCTCAGTCTCTCAGTCCCTCTTCCCCCTTCAGTTCCCCTTCCAATCTCTCTCAGTGCGTCCCCTTCCGGGCCTCGGCCTCTCAGGGAGTCCCCTTCCTGCCTCGGTCTCTCAGTGAGTCCCTCTTCCTACCTCAGTCTCTCCATATACTTAACTACCAAACTACCTACCAGCAATATCCCATTTAATGAATTCACTATTTATTAATGATATATAACAATGTTTTCTGACAAAAGACTATTTCCGTTTGTTGTTTTTTTTCTTTTTCACAATTATTGTCCTTAACAAATAAAACCTTTCAAATTATGAAATGGCCAAAAGCTTCCATTGTCCACCCACAACTTAATCATTCAATCAATTTGTTTCTCATATTGTTGAAGAGGAATCTGTTAGTCTTGGGATTCCTGAAGTATGACACATACAAGCCAAACTCAAAAGCATGGAATGTTTGTAAGGAACTTTTTAACTTTTTATGGTGCTTTCCATTTTTGACAAAGATCTCATTAGTTTCTCTGTTAACAAGCAATAAGAGGTTGCTTATCGGTTAATGATGTTGGTTTGTTTTTTCACCTGAGTTGTCTTATTAAATCCAGAGTTCATGAAATCCTCTTGACTAGATTTTTTACAAGAATATAATTGTAGCCAGGTATTGCATGCTTTTTAAAAGTAATAACAGCAGAGTAGAAAATTTTATTTTTCCTTTTTGTCACATGATACATCTTTCATATATTTTTCATCTGACCCATGATATTACAGGTAGGATTTAGGAAATGAATGTTAAATAAATATGCTAAATGATAGATTGATTAATTTTTATGGCTTATCAACCCATTGTAGGTTATAAGAATTATAAGAAGTTTTGGGAGCTAATGATTTACTGATGCCAATCCTACTAATTAACCCATAAGTGTGGGGGAGAAAAAGGTGGATTCATACCTTTCCCAAGGACATTTGTATGTGCATGAGTGAATATAATGAATCCAACTGGGATTGGATCTCTGCTCTCTGATTTCCAATTCCAAACCATTATTCATTACACCACCTTCACAGCATCTGGTATTCCCCAGCGGTCACCCACCTAGGTACTGACCAGGCTTAACATTGCTTAATCGGTGGTCATATGAGAATTGGTGTTATAATGTGATATGACCATAAGCCAAAAATCTGTTAGATGCGACCTTTATCTGGTGTTCTTGAAATTGTCCCCTTTCAGGGAGCCTGGGTTTTAACATTTTTTTACTTTTCGGCATCATGCTAATATCTTTGGAAAAGGGTATTAGCACAATGGTTCTATAGCTCTGGATGGCAACTGGTCTACCGCAAAAAGAAATGGCAACCTACTGCAGGAAAAAATCTGTCACATCAGTCAGGTATCGAAAGATACATGATTGCCTAAGCATGTATCATGCATGGCATATAACTGACTGACTTGGCATCATTTATAAATATTACTTCCCTTTTTACTGTATATGGAATCAAATCAAAATATTGTTTTATATATTAGTTCTATATATTTGAAATTGCAGTAGCCTGACTCTCAATTTCAGTCAAGATTGTTTTAGGTGTTGCCATAGAAGGATATGACTACACAATCAAGAAATTCAAATTCAACTTGCATTTGTAAGACTAACATTTTGCTTTGCAAAAATAGTCACCTCCAGATTGCTAAAGGTTAAATCATCTTGTTCAACAGAGATGTTTTCCAACAAAGTTAAATATTTTATAAAGCAAACAAAATAATGTATAATAAAGGATCCTTATTTGAGCATAACATTATCATATGAAAACATCCAAGAAATGATCCATATGGAAGCATATTTCGAGACAAATTTCTTTCTGTATTTCCTTAATACAATGGATGGACACCTTTTCCAGATAAACAACCCATTCTCTATCCTTGGTACTAAACTGTTGCTTTATTAGAGTGTGGGGCTACTCTTTTTCTTTCCTTTTCTTATATACACTTCTAAAATCAACCTCAAAAATATTTCACTTGTTATCCCATCTCACTTAAAACCACTTTTTCAAGCTCCAGTTCTGATGATGAATTGGACATGTGCTACTTTATTCTTTAAGCTAACATATGGCCTTTTGTAAACTATTCATCTCATGAGCCAAAATTACTTTTAGTGATATTTTTTAGTTTCATTTATTTTTTTAAAATGTGAGCCACACCTATTTTAAATGTGAGTCACACCTATTTTCAAGCCATATCATTGGGTGATATCATTTTCTTTTATATCAACAAATGTATTGGTAGTGTGACAGTTATTAGAGAAGAAAAAAAATTCAAATTCTGACCTTTTTGTTTATATTTGTGCTAATTCCCTGGAGAAAGGCATGAATCTATATTTTAACCCCCAGCTATGGGTTAAATAACAAGGTAGACTGGGCTTTTTTAACCTGTTTGTAGCCAGTCTAGGAAAAAGCAAAATCTGTATTCAAAACAGTGGCCAGAGCAGTAGGAGACCACTTAAATATACTTCTCAAGGAAAAGTTGTTGTGGAGAGCCATGATTGCCTACATCCTAAAAGCAATATGGCAATTAAAAAAAAATAAATAAAAAAAAAAAATGAGATTGATTTCTTAGTATTGAAAAAGAATAAAAAATGTTATTTCTTAAATTATTTTTATCATGAAATTCCCAAACTGTGACATACTGACTTCAAAATGTCTAAAAGCTCGAGCCTTTTTTAAAAAAAAATAGCAAGCAGTTATATTCTGAAAGCAACATGTGATGAGTTTTCCCAGTTGTCCGCATCTAGGCCTATGCTAATAACAGCCACCAGTTGCTCTGATGATATTTATATATTTTTGCTTGTTTGTAAACAACACTTATTTTATCATCCAGAAGTGGGAGGATGACATGTCGTATTGTCTTCTCTCTAGTTTCTCACAAAAAAAAAAGAGTTTTCTCTTCTTTATAAGAACTATCTTAAATTTATGTCACTATATAAGATCTATCCAGAAATGATCCAAATATATTAACAAAAAAAAAAAAAAATAGGTTACCTATGACAATGGTGACTGAGTCGACTTCAAAGTACACTTTTTGCACCTCACACAAACATCCCAACATCACTTCTATTTTCCAAAAAAGAATCAGAAAAAGGCCTCTTGTGGGATTACCATCAGCTGCCCTATCAGGTTTTAATTTTTATTAAAAGCCAGAAGTCACAGAGAGCTAATTTTGTATTATCATGCAGCTGATAGGGTTGGGGAATACCTTCAAAAGTCATCATTGTATGATAGTTTCATAATTCACATACTGCTGAATGTGTAACCCCATAAATTTCTGGTTATACATGCATACTAAGGTCATATCTGAATAGTTGCCAATCTAAATCAAGATCATACAACCAGTTCTTGAGATGTTTGAAATGGCTGGATGCTTTATATATAAATTGTATATTCATCTCAAATAACTTAATATAGGTACCTCCACTAATTCAGTATACATCAGGTTTAAAATGAAAAAGACTTCTTGAAGCTTTCATTGTTGCTTTTAATTGAAAGCTAAAAGATTTAAAATTTACTATTTCCAGTAAGCAAAATACTCTATGATGTATTTCAAACAGAAATTATATTGATCAAAATCGATTTTTTTTTTTCAGTAAAATCGATGAAAACGGCCATTTTGACACATTTGTAAAAAATAGTTAATTCACAGTTTTAAAAATCTTTGAAAAAATAAAATATATATTTCTGAAATGTTATTTGAGGAAAATTGACAAATTTAAAGTTAAATTAATCTGATTTGAAACAAATATTACTTACTTATAGCATAAAATGTTGTATACAAACATTTCTTAATCACTGGGTCTTGTTTTTCTGTGTTAATTGATTTGACAGCTGAATGACCGCTGAACATCTTCACAGTTAAGTATGGTGCAGCAGATGATAAAGTTTATATGAGTGTTCTTTTCCATAAGGGTGACAACCCTTAAAACATATGACCTTTTAATAATAATAATAATGTTATAGGTTTGAACATCCATACTTAGAAATTCTGCACATATATACACATACAAAAAAAATTGAAATTCTTTTTAAAATATTCAGAGGTCATTAGATTGTAATAAGTTTTACAATATATGATTAGTAAATATAGTTTTACCTAATAAAAATATTTTTAAGAGTTATCACATTAAAAAAATGAATTTTAAAAGATTTAAAAATTTTATAAATTATTCAATTTAAAATTGTAAAAAAAATGAAAACAAATCTTGTAAAAATTCATTTTTTATCAAAATTTTTTTCTTTCAAACAATATTGTCTTTAATTAATGTACATTATTCATAAAAAAGCAATTAAAAGCTTTCTAATTAAATAATGTCTTAGTTTTATTGCTGTTTTTTTTTTTCAATTCAGAACAGATTTTCTGTAAGATGGGGTCTGATTTTGCCAAAAAAATTTGCTAATTTTTAAATTCTTCAAAAAATTCTGCTTTTAACTAATATAGTCATAAAATTATTATTACATTGAATTTCTCAAGTTTTCATAAAATTAAGTAAGGTGATGAAACACATGTAAAAAAAAAAAAAAAAATTTTTTTTTCTAAATTTTCTAAAAAATTTTTTCAAACTCATTTGTGAATAAGTCCTGAAAATTTCATTAAAATCCAACAATTATTTTTTTTTTTCAAGAATTTCCAAATTAATGTGTCTGTCACTGCAAAAAAAGAGGCTAAAATTTGCTATGCTAAAAGTTGAGAGAAAATTAACAGCTGACATAAAAAAAAAATTTTTTTTAATCAAAATTTTGAATGTTTCTAAAAAGGAGTAAAAAATTTAATTAAATATTCAAAAAATACTTTGATCCTTCCTCTTAATAATGACAAAGATTTTGATGATAAAACTATGTTTTTATTACATTGCAAGCATGTTTTTGCCATGGTATGCTAATTTTTTAGCAATTTTTGGGAGTTACTGTAAAGAAATACTTAAATTTACTAAAAACACACCTAACAAAAACAAAAATAAAATTACTTATTCCTACACATATGGAAATCAAAAATATTTTTATATATATATATATATATATATATATTACAACAACATGCCTGTCCACATTTACAATTAAGGATAATCTGGTTGAAAATACATATATACTTTTCCATGAAAATAATAAACATAAGAAAATGTCTTTTGAAGCTACCTATATTAAAAAATTAAAATGGAATTAATAAAATTTAATTATTGGGCTTACAAAATTTTTGTCGTTAAGTAGACCTTTTAAAATAGGTTTTAATTAATAGTTTTAAAAGAGAATTTATTTTTTTTAAAGATATTTAGACATTTCAATAACCTTGTTTTATAATACGTTTTTTGTTAAATTTATTAATATTTAAATATCTAAACATTAATTTTTTTACTTTATTCCTAAAAAATTTAATTTCAGATGAATAATATAATTTCGAAAAAAATTGAATATTTTTTTTTTTTTATTTGTAAATTGACCCTGATGATCAAATAAGAAAAAATGTTGAAAATATTTTTTCAAATGAATAAATTTAAATTGTAATTTTCAAATAAATTTGATAAGTTATTTTTTGGCTTAAAAAAAAATAATTATTTCAAAAACAAATAAAAATTAAAATTTTTATAAACAAAAACAAAGACACACATAATTTTTATAAAAATATTTATATATATATAAATATAAATTTTCAAATTAATTAACAATACAAAATTATTTCAATATTATAAAATAGTAATCTAAAGAATAAATAATTAATATTGTAAAAATAATTAATATTGTAAAATAGTAATTCAAATAATAAATTAATAAAAATTGTGTGTTTTTTGAATTTAAAAAATTACAAATTAAAAAGTATTTTAAATAAAACATTTACTGACCAGGAAAAGAATAAAAAAATTATATTATTTTTTTAAATTTCCTTTTATTTCTTGAAAAAAAATGTTCTGTCAAATTATTGTTCGTAAGAACATCAGTGAAAACATTTTAAATTTAATCTTCAAATATTATTATTTTTTTCCTTAATTTTTGTTTTTTTTCATAAAAATTCAAGATAAAAAATCAATGTGATACTTGTAAAAATAAATGTTGTATTAAAAAATGTGCTTTCATTAAAGTCAAAAAATATTTTGAAGATGCAAAAAACAAATTTTATTTTCTTCATTTGTTAATATAA